GGAATGCCATGGAAACTTTCAACCCTGCCTTGGGGGTGGAGCAGACTAGAGGCCACACCAGGGCCCTAACAGATGCATTTTTCTCTCTTTCGGTCAAAAATACACCATCAGTAGGAACTGGAGAAACTTTCATTACTGTTTCCTGTGATGTACTTATTCTGCAGGTAATGGTAGATAAGACTGTGGGTTATGGGGCTGTTTGGCACTCATGCTAAAATATCTGAAAAACTGGAAGCATGTCTAATGCTGTGGCTATTTGCTAAAAGCAGGTCACAAAGCCATCCCACCTGATTTTCAGAGATTTGCCATAACGTGTAAAACTGTAGCTTAATATTTCACAGTGGTCAGGTTCTTCTTTTAAAAACTAAGGATTGACATAAATTAAGCAGTGGTTGAAAGGAATCTCTGCAGGTCTTCAGCTCGACCTCCTCCTGAAAGCAGGACTACCAACACTAGGTTGCTGTGTCAGCCATGGCTTTGCATAGCTGAGCCTTGAGAGGTCCCAAGGATGCAACTACCACCAACTCCATGGGGGACCTGTTGCAGGGCAGTCCCAACCTCTTGGTGAAAAGGTCCTTCCTCATGTCCAACCTGAATCTCCCAAGCTGTAAACGTGGCTGTCACTCCTTGTTGTATCCTCTCCCATCACTCCATCACCTCTGTCATTTCCTTACAGATTTGATGTGGGCTGCTATTAGAGCCCCCATGACCAAGGTGAGCAACCCCATCTGTGATCCATAGCATAAGAGAAAAGGCTGATCAATACAGAAGGGGATCCACAGATATTTGTCAATGTCAGGTTGGAAATTTCAGACTATTGTAACAGATTATTGAACTTTCACGCTGCCATTAACTTTAAGGCATAAACTGATCACAACTTCTTCATGATGTTTTATCATAGTTTTGCTCTAGCTCAAGGCTTTCAAATGCGTAAAATTACAAAATTTTAATCTGTGTGTTTCTGTTCTCAGAGAAAGCTGACAGTTCATGACAAAGATGACTTTTCTTCACCATGAGCAAGGTATTAAATGGAAAAGAAGGAAGATAATCTGGACACACGCCATTTCGGTGCACACACACCCATGTGCACCCATGCACGCATGCCTACGCTTGCTACATACAAATAGTTTTTGTAATAACTAAGGCAGTAAACAGTGAAATGTCCCTCAATTTAGTCACGTGTGTTGGCTAATCCTGAAAGGTTTGTGACTGAAATTGGTATGAAAAGGTATTAAGCGGGCTAGGAATACAGAAATCATCCAAAGTTCGGTTCCTAAGCAAAAAAGCCCAGGTGAAAGACAGTATGAAGATATTTAAGAAAGCCAGAGATGGGCTGAAACTGGCTTCACTGACAGAATGAAGAGAGTGAAGAGGTGAGGTAAGGCATGAAGACAGACTAATGTCCTCAGACCTCCGTAACTCAGAGGGAAAGCAGAAAGACTTCATGGGATGCCGTATGTTACTGTGAGGCAGCTGAGGTTGCCAGAGACGACTTCTGAGTTTACATTTCTATAGCAAAAAATGTGCACTGTTCTCTGTTGCTACGAGGTTAAAAAGAGCACTGGGCTTACATATGTCTTATCTTCTGAGCACTTTACAATCAGGTTAAGCTTTTTAACCCAGCTTTAAAACAAGTTAAGTGCCATTAAAATATTTCAGAAGAAAACGTTTTTAACAGAGATACTTCTTGGTTTATGGTCACTACCTTTTTTTATATAATGCCCAAAATTGGGCAGGGCATTTTGCAAGCCTCTGGAAACCCCCCCCAGCTTTTTACCTTAGAGATAAAAATCTAAGCAGACTGACAATGTGCAATTGAAAGATGAAGTGGGGAGGGAGTGAAGGGAAATGTAGAGAATATCGGATATGTCACCCGTCTTTCAAATGCCTTATGCATCTGCTATTATTTTTACACTGACTGTTGCCTGTCTGCTTTCCCATCTCATTCCAACTTTTGCTTTTCAGTGCGTTTGTCTAACCTCACCTACTTCCCGCCCTCCCAGAGAAAAGCAAACAAGCACAGGCACAGCCTGACCTCCTTCTGTAGCAGCTAAGTCTTGTAGGTGAGTTATAAAATCTCTTCTGCATCTTTCGCACATAGCCAGAGGGCCCAGTTCTCACCTGGTGTGGAGGAACACAGTGCTGCTTTGGCTGGGAAAACAGGGCTTTACAGTCCTTTCCCTCTGACCTATCTCAATACCACTTCAAACTGCAAGGAGAACTTACCTAAATGTCAATCACCAGACCTAGTCAGAGCCAATACCACCAAAATCAGCTCTGTTTTGCTGCCTGTGTACATCAGAGGATCTGACAATGTTATTACAGCTTAGGAAAACACTCTGGATTGCCAGGAGCATTCAAAATGCTTTATTAATTCAGCAAACAAAAGCACTTTCTACAGCTTCTACTTAAACAAGGCAGCTAGAGCAAGCTTGTAATTTTTAACTACGGTTTTAGAAAGTTTTGCTTTTTAATGCTGAGAGAAGCATGTAAATACCTTTACTTACCTTCTGCACGGGGCTAAGATGGTCCCCAGGCTCCAGAGTTCCCTGTAGCCAGCTTCAGACTTTCCAGCTCCTCTCTCCTGAAGCGTGATGATCTGAGGGAAGCACAGTGATGGTTTTGGGCAATGGCCTCGATTAAACAAATAGCTGTTCCTCTCCAGAGAATGAGGAAATACCCCAAGTTATCCCTGGTTGGCCAGTGTGAGGTTGGAGTGTCACCCAGTGGTATTGATTATTTTAAGGCAGTGTTCCAGTGGTCAATGCCTCAACCCCCCAGGACACGGAGATCAGAGCAGCGGAGACCTTTTTACTGCTGCAACCATTTCAGGCAGAAGAGAGACAGGAGATGGCAGGAGTGCAAGTGCACCAAAAAGAGCTATGGGCGCATGGCAGAAAATGTGGTTGAGGCACAAGGCGGTGGCACAGCAATGTCTGCCCATTGGTGTGGAGTTGTGTTCTGCACAAAATTCAGCACCAGCTTTGCTCCAAACCATGCTGCTGGGAGAGCTGTGTGAGGAGAGTGGAGATGGGAAGGGAAGGAAAGAAAATTCTCAATAAGACAGGGGAAAAAAGAGGGAGAAGGGCAGAAAGGCTGGAGAGAAGGGAGAGGTGTGACCAAGCGAGAAAACAAGGAAAGAAAAACACAATTCCAAAGAGGAGAGAGTGGGAATATGGAAGGGAAACTGAAGATTCACTTTGGCAGAAGAGAAGAGAAAGGTAAAAGGGACATTAGAGATGGGCCAAGAAATGAAAAACACATTGAAAAGTGTGAAAAAACATTCAAATTAAACTGAGAGAAGACTCATACTGAGGAGAAAGGAACTTTCTTTTGTAGAAAATGTGATAGTAATAACCATTAAATTATGTCCAAATACTAAAACATATAAACATATATGTTACTTCGTAGGTTAGATTTGTCCCCAGTCATGCTGGGAATATGCTCGGATCCTTCCTTTCGACTGAAAACATCCCCCTTCTGGCAGGCATCTGCTGTTGCCTTGTTCTCAACATCCAGATGGAAGGATGACTTGATCACAAAAACATTATTGAAAGGGGCATGTGGCTGAAAGCAAAGATACGAAATACTCCACTCTCCACCCTGATGTCTCTCATCTTCATTCTCTAATCTCACTGTGAAAGATTGGTTATGTAGGGTAGAATTCATCTCACATGACTTTGGATGTCCATGAGGTAGATGTCACCCTAGACTGCATTTATTCCTAGTGAGAGAAACAGACACTTTTAAGGAAAAAAAACACAAGACCTATTTCAGGAGTTACAGTAAATCGTTAATGGTGGAAGAATCTCAGCAGTTGTTCAGGTCTGGATGTTGGCATCTATCATCAGATGAATCTCATCCATGAGGACTACCAGCATGGCAGGGTGGCTGCAAAAGCACAGGTGCAAAGCCTGGGACTTCAGTCCCCAGGTTGCATGTTTAATACCACCAGCATCTGAGGCTGACTTCACCACTGACTCACAGCCACTGAAAAATCTTTAAAAAGCCCATAGAATGTTCTCAGGCAAAGAACCTTCATTAATGTACAGATGGCAAAAAGGAAGGAAAGTGACCTGAACCCCCTGAACCCAGTTCCCCAGCCTTCAACTGACATCAGTGGCAACAACATTTCACTGTATTTTTTGTGGAGGTGCTTCAACTCAAAGGAAAAGGAACAAAGTAGGTCTCAGAAAATCTTCAGACAGGGCAAAGGCACAAGGCCTAATGGCATTTAAAACATTAGAATAATTAAAGTTAGAACAACTTGAAGACCATCAGCAATTTGCAGTGACAGCTGATGCTCCTGGTGGGGACCAGCCAACTTCTGTAGAGAGTTAAGTAGGAAATTCAGCCTGGAGAAGAGAAGGGGGACCTTATTGCAATCTTCCAGTTCCTGAAGAGATCCTACAGGAAAGCTGGGGAGGGACTTTTTGCAAAGGCAGCAATAGAATGAGGGGGAATGGTTTTAAACTGGAAGAGGGTAGATTTA